GTATCAGCATCCTTTTGAGTATGGTGTTTTGGGAGGAATATGGAACATTCAATGTTGTTCTGGAAATCACACTAAATGGGTGTTTTTATGCTCCCTTGGGGGAAAAAAAAATTGAGCCAGATAACATGAAGAATCTCAAGAAATAGAGGGTTCTGTCACTCATTTTCCATAACTCATGAAGATTCTGGGGTTCAGTCTGTGTCCAATATTCTAGAATCTGTACAGAAGGTCATCAGCTTCCAATACTGAGCAGCAAACCGTCTTTCACTTGTTCAGTAAGATCTAATAGCAAAATATGCATAAATACTGTTTCTGCTTCCAGATATCATATGGAGCCAGTTGGCTACTTTACGTAGTCACTGCACGTTATCATTTGACATGATTTTTCATGGATTAAATTGCCTCATAATCACTCTCTTCAGCTGGGGATGTGAGGAAACCAAGCCTGTGGCTACACAGTTGCCTTTGAATCCAGTTGACAAAGAAATGGCGAGGACCTGGGACACCATCCTCTTGTTCCTGCGTATCTGCCTCTCACTTGATAGTGTGACTGGGTGCAAATGAGGCAGAAGCAGTTCTTGTCTCTTCTTTAGATAGGAGAGATTTATCAAGGCATGGATTCTGTGCTTGTTCAGCTGGCCTGAAGGCAGAGATTTGGTCAATATCACTGACTTTGGGGATTAATAATTTGCCCATTGGCTAAATCAATTGGCCAAAGTAGTTTCATTAAACTGACATTGTGGTTTTCTACTTACCACTCATTGAATTCTTTATTTAGTGGAGGGTTAAGTGTGTATTTATTAAAAAAAAAATTTAAAGTATGCCATTGTAAAAATAAAAGAAATATTTTTTAAAAAAGGAGGAAAAAGGGTGGGAGTGAGGGAGGGAGGGTAGGTGAGAAGTATCACTAGGCTCTTAAAACTGTATTTATGAAATACATGGAATTTGTTTCCTTTATATAAATACAAAATGATTTGCAAAAAAAAAAAAAACTATCAGTAAAAAGAATTCTGCTAGGAGAAAGAATAGCAACAAGGAAACCTTAAACTGACAAGGACGAATAGATAGAACCACACTGGTCTCCTAACAGTTATTATTCCAAGAGGTCATTCTTCTAAAGATGCAAATTTTCCCCAAATGTGTAGTGAATTAATAAAGCTGATGGATGTACCCACTTCTCCTCAGTTTGACATCCTTCTTCCTAGTGAACATACCTCATACTCTATACCTCACCCTTTTCAACAAATAGAATATCCCCTTACAGTGCTTCTTTCTTCATTTAAAACGATTTCTTAGTTTGTTTAGTGTTTCCTAAGTAAATAAATATATGGCCCCATGTACTTGCCATGGAGATTTAGCAAATATGAGGGTATTTCACAAAATTCTTAGAAAATGCATATTATCTCTTTTTTAAAAAAAGATTTATTTTATTTATTTGAGAGAGTTACAGAGAGAGGTAGAGACAGAGAGGTCTTCCATCCACTGGTTCACTCCCCAGATGGCTGCAACAGCCGAAGCTGTGCCAATCTGAAGCCAGGAGCCAGGAGCTTCTTCCTGGTCTCCCATGTGAATGCAGGGGCCCAAGGACAGGGGACATCTGCTGCTGCTTTCCCAGGCCATAGCAGAGAGCTGGATCAGAAGAGGGGCAGCCAGGACTTGAACCAGAGCCCATATAGGATGCCGGTGCTTCAGGCCAGGGCTTTAACCCGCTACACCACAGCACTGGCCCCAGAAAATGCATATTATTTCTTATTTCCATTCTTCCAAGAGCTTTGTGAAATACCATCACCTTGTCTCGTTGCTACACTTATTTCTGGCTTTTCAGACACACAACATAGAAAGTTACCACCACAGCCCAAGCTCCAGCCCACCCGTCCTGTTTTCCTTCCTCCCTCTCTCAGATTCTCACCATCACGAAGGGTTTTTCAATAACCTTTAACTTCTAACACACATACTTTTCTGTACCCATAAGTCATAATACTGTGTTCTTCAGTGTTTTCATGGATACATCACACTGTAAGCATAATTTTGTATCTACTTTAACTCAGAATTGATTTTAAATTTCTATGCATGTAAACATAGTGTGGAGCCCATTCCGTTTTACTGAAGGATAGAATCGTATGAAAAATTAACATTTATTTGTCTAATTCTTGACTCCTCGTCAATTAATTGCTTCAATTCTTCACTATTAGCAACAAAGCTGTTTCTTTGTGAGGAAGAGTGAGCATTTTCCCAGGCAGGTATGGAGAAAAATCACTACATCAAGATTAATAGAAATATTTAACTTTTTACCACATATTCAATAATATTTCATTGTTATTTTAATTTGCATTTCTTTTATCACTTAAAATTAAATCCTTTTTGGCTGGTGCCATGGCTCACTAGGCTAATCCTCCACCTTGCAGCGCTGGCACCCCAGGTTCTAGTCCCGGTCGGGACTAGATTCTGTCCCGGTTGCCCTCTTCCAGGCCAGCTCTCTGCTGTGGCCCGGGAGTGCAGTGGAGGATGGCCCAAGTCCTTGGGCCCTGCACCCGCATGGGAGACCAGGAGAAGCGCCTGGCTCCTGGCTTTGGATCGGCGTGGTGCGCCAGCTGTAGCACGCCGGCCGCAGAGGCCATTGGGGGGTGAACCAGTGGAAAGGGAAGACCTTTCTCTCTGTCTCTCTCTTCCACTGTCCACTCTGCCTGTCAAAAAAATAAATAAATAAAATTAAATCCTTTTAAAATTTGCTAATTGGCCATTTGGACTTCATTTTCTGCAACTTTCTAGTTCATATTGCTTGCCATATTTTATTGAGATTTTCATCTTTTCCCTCTCAATTAATAGGATTTTTATGTATTCTGAATATGAATATTTTATTGCTTTGTGCTATTACAAATTATCCCATTCGCAGCTTGCCTCTTTATAGTTTTGTCGTGGTGGTTGTTATAGAAACTTAACCTTAATATAATTAAACTTAGAATTTTCATTTGTTATTCTCAGGGGAGATAGTTAAGAAGTGTATTGCTACTATAAAATCATAAATATAAACTATGCCATTTTCTTCTATTGGTGCTGAAATTTTGCTTCTCAACCTAAGGCTGCTAATCCCTCTGGCACTTTTTATGTTATCATGTGAGGTAGGTATGTGATGATACTTTTCTGCTGTGGGTGGCCCACAGCCTCAGCACCATTCATTGAAGAGCACATCCTTTGTTTCACTGACTTGTAATACCACCCTGTCAATTAAAAAATCCTCATTATAAGCCTGTTTCTAGGCTCTTTATTGTCCTCTGTTGATTAATTGGTTTATCTTTGTAAAAATATAGTATTTGTTGTAAACACTGTAGCTTTATAATAAGTGTTGTGGTGAACTCCTACCTTCTTAAAAATATCTAAAATTTTTTCAAGCTTTTTCATATTGAGTTAAGAAATAGATATTTCATAAACTATTATAGTGTCACTGTGAAGATTAGAATTCCTGTTAAAATTACTTTGGGTTTTCAGATTGTAGTTCTTTGTGTTACCGTGTGACAATCGGTATTGTTAGGATGACTTCAGATTCTTGAACTAGGCTTAATGTAAGTTTTTTAATGAAGTTGTCATATTAGATTTCCTTGAATGTGACATTTATTATTTGATCAACAAATTTATATTGTGCATACGTTAATTGTCTATAACAGATCCTGGATCTATAGCCAATGAATAATTAGAAATAATCATGAAATATGTAGCTCAGCAGGGGATACAGAATTAAACAGGTCATTAACACAAGATTTTGAAGGGGAATGAGATTTATGCCATAATTGATGAATGGATAAAGGAAATGTGGTTCATACATATAATGAGTACTATTCAGCAATAAAAAATGACCAGGTTTTGCCATTTGCAACAATATGGATTGAACTGAAGGTCATTAAGTTGAGTGAAACAAGCCAAGCACAGAAAGACAGGAACTGCATGATCTTATTCATATGTGGAATCTAAACAAGGTGAGCTCATCAACGTTGACAGTAGAATGGTGGTTTCCAGACACTGGACAGAGTCAAGGAGTGAGGGATGAGGAAAGGTTTTCTTTTTTCTTTGTTGATCATGTAATTTGGAGATATGACAAAGGAAATGAGTCTCTAAAAATTCCCTATAGAAGTTTTGTTTAATTTAGAGAATGAAAAGGACATAGTTAACATCAATACCTTCCATATTCTGCTTCTACCTGCGTTAATTTGAATTTAGAAGTGATTGAATGCAGCAGGTCTTATATACATGACTACACATTCTAATTTTGTGAGTTCACAGAATCCTGATACTTGCAAATAAATTCATTGTAACCCTTGGATATGGGACTGTTGCCCACACTTATTTTTCTTTCTTTTATGGATCCCCATCTTCCCTCCTCCTCCTATTCTTATTTTTCTTTTAATTTTTTCAATGACATTTTTTCATTTACTTTATAATCACAAGGTTAACTCTCCATTAAATAAAAAAATACAACAAGTAGTAAGTGGATTACATTTTGTGGCTAGATATAGTTAGATGCAAGTAAGAAGTTCCAGTATTCTACTGCACAAAGGGTAACTACAGATAATGGCTATGTACTATATATTTTTTCTTTTAAAGAAAAACTAGAAAAAATGTTTTTACCATAAAGAAATGCTAAATGATTGCTTAGATGTATTTACCCTTTTTGGACATTACATGTATGTATATATATATATGTATGTATATTTAAAACATCACATGATACCCCCTAAACACATATACCCCTTATGTGTCAGAAAAATTAATAAATAATCTCTTGGCTTCCACAGAACAAATTCTGGAGTCAAAACACTGAGGTGCCTCCTATGTGTTCCACTGTAAGACTGCTTCAGTTATCCTGTCTTCAGAGTAGAGTTGGTACAGTACCTACCTAGTTCAGATATTTAAGACTAATGAATCAGCTACTACAATAAGCCATTAGAACAATGTTCAAGGAAAGATTTAGTAAACATTAACTGTTAATATTATCATTTACAGAAACTTGGACCAGATTGAGAAAGAAAGTGGCTGCATATCCTAGACCTGCATTTTTTTTTCCTATCACATTTGCAGTGAAATATGTGAGAAAATATGGATAAATACACCACCATAGTCTAAAGCATCTCTCTATTATCCTGTACACAATCATCATTTCTCATCCTGAAACAGTCTACATTTCTCCTTCAACTTCCAGCACAGCCGCCTTCATCTGATACACGAGTATGAGGCCTGAGAACCAGAGCAATGGATTCGAATTCCTCCTCCTGGGGCTCCCCATCCGGCCAGAGCAGCGGGGAGTGATCTTTGCCCTGTTCCTGGGTGTGTACCTGACCACAGTGCTGGGGAACCTGCTCATCATCCTGCTCATCAGGCTGGACTCCCGCCTCCACACCCCCATGTACTTCCTCCTCAGCCACTTGGCCTTCACTGACATTGCCTTCTCGTCGGTCACTGTGCCAAAGATGCTGCTGAGCATGCACACCCAACACCTTGCCATCCCCTATAAGGGCTGCATTTCACAGACATATTTTTTCATATTCTTTGCTGACTTAGATAGTTTCCTTATCACTTCAATGGCCTATGACAGATATGTGGCCATCTGTCACCCTCTGCATTATGCAACCATCATGAGTCAGAGCCTTTGTATCACGCTCGTCGCTGGGGCCTGGGTCATTGCTTACGCATGCGCTCTTCTGCATACCCTCCTTCTGGCCCGGCTTTCCTTCTGCGTTCACCACATTATCCCCCACTTTTTCTGTGACCTTGGTGTGCTGCTCAAGTTGTCTTGCTCAGACACCTCCCTCAACCAGCTGGTGATCTTCACTGCAGGGTTGATGGCCATTATACTTCCGTTCCTATGCATTCTGGCTTCTTATGTGCGTATTGGGATCGCCATCCTCCGGGTTCCCGCCACCCAGGGCGTCTGTAAAGCCTTGTCCACCTGTGGATCCCACCTCTCAGTGGTGACTCTCTATTATGGCACAATTATTGGTCTCTACTTTCTTCCCTCATCCAGCAACGCCAATGACAACAACATAATTGCTTCTGTGATATACACAGTGGTCACGCCCATGTTGAACCCCTTCATTTATAGCCTGAGAAATAAAGACATGAAAGGGGCTTTAAGAAAACTCTTGAGAAAGAAAACCCATCCTCCCAAATGATACTTAGCTTTCATTAGAGCAGCCACATGATCCTGTTTTCTTAATAACATAAATACAAATTATTGAAAATATAGCTTACTTGTCTTCCTTCTACAACTGTCACTCTGAAATGCCTTTCTGATATCTTACACCTGTTCCGAGGTATATAAAGTCAGATTATAAAAAATAATTTATTTACTTGAGAGACAGAGCTTCCACCTACTGGCTCACTCCCCCTGTGGTCCAATAGGTGTGTCTGGGCTATGCCAAAGCCAGGAGCCAGATGCTAAATCTAGGTGGTCTACATGGGTGGCAGGGACTCAACTACCAAGCCATCGCCTGCTGCCTCCAAGAGTGCACATTTACAGGAAGTTAGAATCAGGAACAGAGCTTGCACTCAAATCCAGGCACCTTCATATGGAATGCAGGTGTCTCAACCAATGTCTTAATCACTAGACCAAATGCCTGCTCCAGGGTAGATTTTATAGAACTTCATTTGCTCTTTTCTTGGACAACAAGATTAGAAAATTGTTTGAGGGTGCTATGTTGCTTAGACTCATATTAATTAAATGGAAGCCATCAGGAGTGGTTTTCACCCAAACTCTAAAATTGTTATAAAATTGTGTTTGGCCTTTCACACCCCCATTTCCAAAGAATTTTCCACTTTTGTGGAGATGTGGCTTACATAGAGAAATCAATTAACAACAGATGCTGGCGAGGATGTGGGGAAAAAGGAACACTAACCCACTGTTGGTGTGAATGCAAACTGGTCAAGCCACTATGGAAGTCAGTTTGGAGATCGCTCAGAAACCTGGATATAGCCCTACCATACAACCCAGCCATCCCACTCCTTTGAATTTACCCAAAGGAAATTAAATTGACAAATAAAAGATCTGTCTGCACCTCAATGTTTATTGCAGCCCAATTCACAATAGCTAAAACTGGAATAAACCTGAATGCCTGTGGGGAGCAACCCGGACTGGACTGAGTTACTGGAATTAAGACTTATTCTATGCAAATGAATCTTGATGTGAATGGAAGGGGAGAGGGAGTGGGAAAGGGGAGGGTGGTGGGTGGGAGGGACGGTATGGGGGGGAAAGCCATTGTAACCCATGAGACGTACTTTGGAAATTTATATTCATTAAATAAAAGATAAAAATAAATAAATAAATAAATAAAATGAACTAGCTCAAAAAAAAAAAAAAGACTTATTCTATGCATCTGCTCTCCCACAATATGGCGCTGAGAAGGGAGAAACAGCTTCTACACAGCTGCCTCCAGTTCAACCAATAAACTGTGGGACCTGCTCCTGATTGGAGGAGAGCAGCGTACTTGGCGTGTGGGCAGCCGAGTTGGGATTGGTGGAAGAGGACTATAAAGGAGGAGAGAGACGGCATGCACCAGGAACATCTAAGGGGAACATCCAGCTGAAGGAACACCTGTGCAGCCCCCGAGAGAGCCGGCCGGCGGTGTGCCGCTCCCCCGCGGAAGTGGGGAATGTGGCAGGGGGAACCTCCCTTCCACGGAGGTGGAAGGGTCGGTAGCCAACCCGGGAAGAACCAGCAGCAAACCCGGGGAGGGCCGAGCAGACAAAAGAACAGCGCAGGGTCCTGTGTCGTTCCTCCACGAAGACGGGGAGCGACATAATGGTGCCGTGACTCGGATAGGAAACTTAGGAGGGAAGAAACGGGAAGAAATGGGAAAATATCAGAGATAGAGACTAGCAAACAGCCTAGGGAAAAGCCGGACGAAAAAGGTGCTGGAAGAAGCTATTGAAAGCCTAGGCATAGACTCGGATACGGACTACGGGGGGAAGCTGGGAGAAATCTCTAAGATCGAAAGCGAAAGTGAAAGCTAGAACAAACAGATTTGGATACGGACTGTGGGGAGAAGCCAGGAGAAATGAGGGAGGAATATTGTTGGAAGAAAACTTAGGGAAATATACCGGGTAGAGAAAAATGTTAGGGAAATTGAAGCCGTGGGGGACAGGCCGAGGCGGAAACGTAAGCCAGTTTGGAATTCTTTAAGTCAGCCCAGGGGGCAAAAGGCGAAAATCTGGAACCAGAGGCAGAGACGTGGGCCGCCAGGTTGGAATCCGTCAGATTAGCCCGCGGAGCAAAGGACGGGAAGCCAGACCGAAAGGCGCAGATGCGTGAGCTAGGTTGAATTTGCCAGGTTAGCCCGGGGAACTTAGATTGAATGCTAGTGGCGGAAACGTGAGCTGAGGCTGTGTGACTCACGGAGGCTGTCGCGCGCAGAGAGAGCTTGCGGGGCACAAGTAGATAGGGAATGCTGGGCTAGTGCGAGGCCGTGGTGCGGGCGCGAAGCCAGGAAGCCGTGCAGATGAGAGAAGCTGGCTGAAGCGGCTCAGAGCCGGGAAGCCGCTGAGAAGCAGCCTCGGGGCGGGCGCCGGGAAGCCGCAGGGATAAGAGAAACAGAAGTTTAGAAGTAAAATGAGAGAAATAGGAATGCTGGTAGATAGAAGTAAAATAGGAGAAATAGGAATGCCCGGAGATAGGGAAATAGAGAAAAATAAGGCCTCCCCTCAACATGGCAATGAGAGAGCTTGGATTCGGTCTGCCTGATTAGGGAGGTGGTGAGCACCTGTGGGCGGCTAGCAGTTTATGCGCCGCAGGTCACCAAAGACAGGCACGAATTAACATCAATAAGTCTCCCCACAATACCGCAATGAGAAGGCTTGGATTCGGTCTGCCTGATTAGTAAGGCGGTAAGCACCAGCAGGCAGCTCGACCAGAGTGTGAGCTGCAGGTCACCGAAGACAGGCACGTCATCAACACCAATAAGTCTCCCCACAATACGGCAATGAGAAGGCTTGGATTCGGTTTGCCTGATTGTTAGGACTTGTAAGCACCTGCAGGCAGTTCTAGCAGAGTAGAGCATGAGCTGCAGGGCACCGAACACAGGCACGCATCAGCGCCTAAAAACCTCCTCACAACATGGCGAAGAGAGGACCCGGATTCGGTTTGCCTGATTGATAGGACTTGTAAGCACCTGTGGGTAACTCTAGCAAGCAGAGCAGAGTGTGTGCCGTGGGACACCGAAGACAGGCGCGTATCAATGCCAAAAAAATAAAAAGAAAGGGGGATCTGTGGGGAGCAACCCGGACTGGACTGAGTTACTGGAATTAAGACTTATTCTATGCATCTGCTCTCCCACAATATGGCGCTGAGAAGGGAGAAACAGCTTCTACACAGCTGCCTCCAGTTCAACCAATAAACTGTGGGACCTGCTCCTGATTGGAGGAGAGCAGCGTACTCGGCATGTGGGTAGCAGAGTTGGGATTGGCGGAAGAGGACTATAAAGGAGGAGAGAGACGGCATGCACCAGGAACATCTAAGGGGAACATCCAGCTGAAGGAACACCTGTGCAGCCCCCGAGAGAGCCGGCCGGTGGTGTGCCGCTCCCCCGCGGAAGTGGGGAATGTGGCAGAGGGAACCGCCCTTCCACGGAGGTGGAAGGGTCGGTAGCCAACCCGGGAAGAACCAGCAGCAAACCCGGGGAGGGCCGAGCAGACAAAAGAACAGCGCAGGGTCCTGTGTCGTTCCTCCACGGAGAGGGGGAGCGACAAATGCCCATCAACAGAAGACTGGATGAAGAAATTATGGGATATGTACTCTACAGAATACTATACAAGAGGGGCTGGAGCTGTGGCTCACTTGGTTAATCCTCCACCTGCGGCGCCAGCATCCCATGTGGGCACCGGGTTCTAGTCCTGGCTGCTCCCCTTCTAGTCCAGCTCTCTGCTGTGGCCTGGGAAGGCAGTGGAGGATGGCCCAAGTGTTTGGGTACCTGCACCAGCATGGGAGACCAGGAAGAAGCACCTGGCTCCTGGCTTCGGATTGGCGCAGCACCATACGTTGCAGCTGTTTGGGGAGTAAACCAATGGAAGGAAGAACTTTCTCTCAGTCTCTCTCTCTCACTGTCTATCTGTCAAAATTAAAAATTAAAAAAAAAGAATACTATACAAGAGTAAAAAAAAATGAAATCCAGTCATCTGCAACAAAATGGAGGAATCTGGAAAACATCATGCTGAGTAAAATGAGCCAGTCTCACAGGGACGAATATCATATGTTCTCCCTGATCAGTGAAAACTAACTGAGTGCCTAAAAAGAAACCTATTGAAGCGAAATGGACACTATGAGAAACAATGTCTTAATCAGCCCTTGTCCTGATTGTCAAGGAACAACTTACTATTTTATTCCTTTTAGTGTTTTTTGTTCTACTTAATACCATTGGTTGAACTCTTTAATTAACACACAGTTATTCTTAGGTGTTTAACTGAAAAGTGATCCCTGTTAAATATAAGAGTGGGAATAGGAGAGCAAGGAGATGTACAGTTCGGCACATGCTCAATCGGACTTACCCATAATGGTAGAGCTAGAAATGTGCCAGGGGATTCCAATTCAATCCCATCAAGGGACTAAATGCCATCTTACTTGTTAAAGTGATCAGTTTAAGTTAATAATTGATCAAAAAGATAGGATTAAGTGTCAAAGGGATTACATAAATAAGACCAATGTCTGCAAATAATAATTGATAGAATTAAAAAGTAGAGAATGATCCTACATGGGAAGCAGGATACACAGCAGATTCATAGAATGGCAAATGCCCTAAACAGCACTCTGGCCTCAGAATCAGCCCTTAGGCATTCAGATCTGGGTAAAAAGCCCATGAGAGTTTCTCAGGCATGGAAAGCCAAGACACTGTTGCTTTGATTCCCAGGTTGGTTTTCTAACGTGTAAATGGCTTTTCACTATGTGGTAACTCAGGCACCAGGCTCAACTACCTTTGAGGGCAACAACTAATCTGTTTCCAGAACATTTAAGATGAGACCCACGGGATTCTTTGAATTCCCAGCCGAGAAATCACACACACTCTCTCTATTAGGGAGGACACGTCTCCTAGCCACACCTAGACCGGAAGAGAACATAGCAGCTGCTGCCCAGGGTCAACACCACAGGTCATGAGATTTGAATGGAGAACCAGCCATTTTTGTCACAAATAGCTAACAAAAGTTGCCATATACCAGACTTGCAAAACATTAGTCTGTTAATACCAGGTGATAAGAATTTTCATCCTCTGGGGACAAAGGTTTAAATTAGTATAACTCTATTATATTTATGGGCTATTTTAGAGCAGTTTAAGTATATAGAATGTATTATAGTTGAATGAATATTGATAGGGTGTTATTAACTAAAGTCTACAGTTTACATTGGAGTCCATGCTGTGCTATGTAGCTTTGTTTCTTCCTGGTTTTGCCAAATGCTTAGTGACATGTATCCATGGTTACAGCATCAATCAGAATAGTTTCTCAGTCCTAAAACATCTCCCTTGCTTCATCTATTCAACCCTCCTCTTCCTCTGCTTCAGACCCTTAGGAATCACTGATCTTTTTGTTATCTCAATGGTTTTGCCTTTTCTGGGATGTCATATAGTTAAGATCAGATAGTATGTAGCCTTTTCACATTGGCTTCTTAGTATAGTGATTTTAGGGGGAAAAATAGCAGTGATAGTTAAGTTGAACATACACATGCCCTACAAT